AGATGTTGAAAAGAGGACTAACAATGCTGATTTCACAATATCCAGCAACTATCTGGGCTGAAATAAAACCTGAAAATTGCTTACTAGGTACTAAAGAATTATTATGTATATTAATAGCATAAACAAGAGCACCAGGGCAGAGTTAACCTAATGCAGACATGTAATCCCAGCACTTCCAAAGCCTCCTGGCCACAGGAACGCTCTGGGACGGCAGGAGTGCAAGGACAGATGTACGGTATTGGCAGAGTGGCTCAGCGACCCAGGGGCTCACTCTTACTACATGGCCCCCAGTTAGGTAATTCCTCCTCAGCCTCTCTTACTTCAACTAGGCTCAAGAAGAGAGAGGCAAAGCTCTCTTTCCTGTCCCTCAGGGTTGGTAGGAAACCAACGGAGAATTTTCTTAAAATGCTCACATAAAACATTGCAATTATTTTTTCATTTTAAAATTATAGATCAGGCTGGGAAGGTGACTCGCTCAGTGGTAGAGTGTTTGCCTAGCATGCATGAGGCCCTGGGTTCGATTCCTCAGCACCACGTACACAGAAAAAGCCGTGGTGCTGTGGCTCAAGTGGTAGAGCATTAGCCTTGAGCTGAAGAACTGAGGGACAGCGCCCAGGCGCAGAATTCAGGCCTCACGACCCACCCAAAAAAAACAAAAAATTATAGGTCATCTACATAAAAAGCTAGTGGAAGTGAGGTGCTAGTGGAAGGTAAACCTAGCTACTCAGGAGGCTGAGATAGGAGGATTGTGGTTTGATACCAGCCTGGGCAGGAAAATCTATGAGACTCATCTCCAATTAACCACCAAAAAAGCCAGAAATGGAGATGTGGCTCAAGTGGCTCAGCACTAAGCCTTGAGTAAAACTGCTCAGAGCTGGCACCCAGGCCCTGAGTTCAAGCCCAGGACTGGCACACATGCACGAGCGCACACAGCCTAGTGGAGTTTGAACTGGAAAGCCAGTAACTAGATGAGATTTTTGAGTTTTTATTTTCTAAAGATAAAAAATATTGGGGGAGGGGTAATTCATTTTTAAAGAAACATGAGCTTCCACCTTCACTTCAATTGCAATTCCATGAGAAGCAGTTATGAGACTGCAAAAATGCCTCGCTGAAATTGATGCAAACTGACTGCCCTGTCTTTCCTTAGCTCACACAGCTCATTAATTGCACAAATAGGGAAAATACTTAGGTGTGAAGATCCTGGAAAATCACAGCAAGCTTTCCTAATACCAAATGGTCACAGAAATGGAACCAGGTAAAAACAGGACAGATTAGAATTAAATGCTTTATGTTCAACAGAATGCAGGGACTCAAAGCAAAGATTTCAGTCTCAGCCAAGTGCTAAATAGTGCTTATATCAAATTGACCCAAATGCACAGTAATTAGGGAAAGTTATCAGAAAAACTCAACAGTATAAATGTGCAGGAGAAACAAAGTGAAGGGCATATGAAATTCTTACGCTATCTCTGTAACTTTGTTATAAATATGAAAATATTCCATAATAAAGTTGTTCCTCTTAAGTATCTATTAAGAGGGCTTGTCTTTAAGGAAAAGAATGAAACATGGCTTTAAGGGGTCCAGGAGGAATCTGGTAGCACTGGGGTTGGAACTCAGGGACTTGTGCTTGCTGGGCAGGCACTCTACTGCTGGAGCCATGCCCATAGCCCCTTTTGCTTTCATTATTATTGAAAAATGGCCTTGCTTTTGCTTCAGTCCAGCCTAGACCACAATCCTCTCATTTCAACTTCCTGTGCAGCTTTTTTTTTTTTTTTAATATCAGTTCTCACTTGCCTAAGCTGGCTCCCAACTGCCATCTTCCCGATCTAGTTACCTAACTGAAGGAATTTCAACATGAGCCCCACCTCATCTCACCCTCTCAGCCTTCTCTGCACAGACGTTCCAAAAAGGGCTAGACAGGGGCTGGGAAGGTGGCTCAGTGGTAGAGCGCTTGCCTTGCATGTCTGAGGCCCTGGGTTCATCTCTTCAGCACCACATAAGCAAAAAGAAAAAAGCCAGAAGTGGTGCTGTGGCTCAACTGAAGAGCTGAGGGGCAGCACCCAGGCCCAGAGTTCAGGCCCCACGACCAGACCAACTCCCCCCCCCCCCAAAAAAACAAAAAGGGCTAGACATCACCCCTACTTCACAACTAAAGAAACTCTTCAAAGACAAAGCGACAGCAGCCTAGGATCCCAAAGTTTTTCAGAGATGGAGGTAAGATTCAGTTCCTCGTCTGTCTGATCCCAAAGCCCCCCAAAGAGTGAACAAATCTGGCCAGAGAACCTCCATGGCCACAATGGCCAACTCATTCCAAGCTGCACCACTGAGCCACCAGGAGGATGTTTTCTACTTTAATCCAGAAAAACATGGATTCCTGCGAAAGTAGAGATAAGAGATGCACCTAAAAATGGCTGCTCTGGCTCCTGTTGGGTTCACAACTTCATACGCAAGGGCCACCTGAAAACTGCCACCCAGAGTTCCACCCACAAGCTAAGCTGCTCAAGAGGTAGTGTGGTACGGCCATCTCCAGTCAATCCTGAAGCTGTGGTGTCAGGGAAGAGGAAACAGACAAGCACCAAACACAAGAAAAGACATAAATGTGGATGGGAATTAGGCTAACTGCCAGGTGGCTTTCGAACCCCACCAAAATGAACACACCAGAGCCCATTACAAAGCAGCTCCTCTTAGCAGAGGTATGTGAAGGCCCTACGTGCACCACCAGAGGGCATTAATTCATGGAGTTGTTTAGAAGTTTAAGAGTTGAGTATGGGGGCTCACATGTATAACCTCAAATGTGTGAGATCAGAATAATAGTGCAAAGACAACAGGTTTTTTGCCTGGGAAACAAGTTAACAGGACACCATCTCAATAAGTTAGGCACGATGGCTTTCATCTGTGGCCCAAAATTAGGTAGGTAGATAGCTGTTCACCCACTTAGGCAAAAAAAAAAAAAAAAAAGGACACCATATCTAAAAGAGTTGGAGGCATGGTTCAAATGGGAGAGTGCTTTCCTACAACTGTAGGACCCTGAGTTCAAACCCTAGCACTACAAAAAGAAAAAGAAAAAACTTTAAAAAAAAAGCTTACAATACAGAGCTTAAATTGCAGAGTATTAAGAGTATTGAATGAAAGCTTAACTTCAAATCAAGGAAATGCTAAGCATGCAAGTTTGACCGTGGCTTTAACATTCATTAGTCATATAAATTACAGTTTAACTCCACAAAATGTACAACATACAGCAGCAGAATATTCAAAAACAATAAGCTAATCAAATCTTCTGACTTAGGAAAATAACATTTCAAAATAAGAGTGATGAACTGCTCACTACTCCTCCATCTGTAGTCACAGGGCTGTTCACTTGCCAGCAACCCCAGCATCTTTTACATGTGCACAGCAAGGGCATCGATTAAGATTTTGATATGGCTTCTTCTTTGCTTTGAGAAGCTATTCTTCATTGAATTACAAGTGGACATTCACCGTAACAAAATTATAGTGCTGTTTATTAAGCATGATTAAGACATCACTTACACTCTCCTATTACGGTCCTTCTCAAAATAAACAGCAAATGGTTATATGTGGTCATATGTGCTAGGCTGATGTTCCAAGCACATTAACTTCTACAATGCAATATCTCCTTTAAGGGGATCTACTCTAACTTTAGTAAAAAGCTTGACCTGGCAATTCTTGAATGTGATCCTGGATTTTTCTGATACATTTGTATCCTCCACTGGTGATTCATCTGGCCACAAAACTATAAATACAGATTTGTGAGCTTTGCTTATTGAACCATTTTTGCAAATGTATCTTCACACACACACACACACACACACACCCCACCACCACCACCACCACCTCCACCACCAAATCATATTTCTTACATTTCCATGGCAGAAAAAGATTATGTAAACTAATTCAGCAACAAATCTAATGACAAATGCATTTCTCTACAAAATGTTTTGTTGTTGTTGTTTTGAGGTATACATAAAAACCTGGACTTTAGTTTCCACACTTTATTTACAAGTATTTAAAAAGCACTGCATCATCTTTATTGATTCGATCAGAAATATTGGCCACTTCTCTATGTGAAATACAATCTAAGCTTAATTGGATCTTTGTCCTGGTTTCAGCTGATTTCTTATGTATAATATCTAATACACTGAAATGAACAAAATCTGACACAAAGTATATTATACCTGGAAGAGGAGTTTTAGGTCTTCAGACAATTCATCACAAGTTAGTGCTACAAATAAACTCACCTTGAGATAACCACCTGCATCACAGAACATCTTCTCCTTGGGTTCTTTTTTGTTTTTTAAACCTTCAAGAGCAATATTAGTATTATGGCCTATGCCAGTACAAAGAACAAAGATGGAGTGACTATGGCATCTTTGAAGGTGATCTGGAACAAAAGCATGTTCGTTAGTGTCATCTTCCTGCCACGCATGGCTGAATGGCAGGCACATGTCCCGAGAACCGCGTCACAGCACACATTTCTTGCATCACTATTACGAGGCCATGTACGCTCACCCGATCAGAGCCACCTGTGTGGTCTTTATGTGGTACGTGCTGTCACCGTCCTGGGGTCCCTATGGAGCACTGAGACACCCACTAGAGCTAGAAAATACTGCCTTGTTTACTTAGTGCCAAAATGTATTAATAATTAAGCAGCCCATCCAGTTATTTGCCTCTTTTCTACCTCTCGTTTCTTGATGGTTCTTCCTAGACTTTCTAGACTTCTTCATATGACCCACGTTTCTTCGATGTCTACATATCCTATGATTCGGGAGTCATGGACATCTCACAACAAAAAGTTTGTAATTCACAACTCCTCGGTCCTCATCCAGTCTGGCTTCTTGTACCACCTCCAATTAGGCTGTCAGTTGTTCCAATTACAATGAATGTTTTTGGTCTTACTCAAACATTTTTCCATTCTAAAATCAGGTTAGAGTACATAAACAGCAAGTTAAAGACTGAGAAAGGACAAGACTCTAGTGGTCCACCAGTTCATTCAACAGCATTTATTGAGACTCCACGGTGCCAGGCACTGCCCTGTGTGCTGAGGAGAGGGGACAAGATGGAGAGCCTGCTCCTGTGGAGCTTCCATTCTCAAGGGAGATGGTAATCGACACACACAGGCCATCACGGGGGGTGGGGGGGGGGGGTGTAAACAGTAGCGTGAAAAGAGCTACGGGGGAATATCACGGTCACCGAGGCTCTGGGACAGGCACGTGGGTGGGGCCTGCTCTCCACGGCTGAATCAGGCAGCCGAGTTCCTGCACCGCCACTCTGGATGATGCCAGAATAGGTCACTTAGTCTACTTCATTTTTAGTAACGTTCTGTTACTAAGTTAACTTGGGGTTTTGAGCACAATGAATTCACTAATGGAACTGTCTTGAAGCCAAACAGGGAGCTGGCAAAACGGTAAAGCTCTCTACGAGTTCTGTCAGCTTCATTCCAATGTGTCAGCCCTCACGGCTTCAGCTCTGTGGGTCCCTCTTCTTGATGCGCCCATGAACAAGTGTGTGCTGAGAGCCTGAAATAAACAGGTGTAAAATGGGTCAAGACCATCGCTTCTATTTCTGTTTTAACTGAAGAAAATGTGCCCCATTTCCAGAGGGAGACAGAGAAGACATCTGAGTATATTTAAACACACAGGTGTATATATGCACATGTGTATGTGACCCCACAACACTCCCCAATACACAGATGCCTGCACATCTGACTTGCTCTGTATTACTGCACAGAGGCCCTCAGGCCGCTACTACAGTATCACTCTTGGTAGGCTGCAGGTTGTATATTTAAGAGGCCACAAAACTGTTTTAAGGAATCAAATTAAAAATTAAAGGTTCAAAGATGATCTAAGTCCAGATTCAATTAACACCGATTTTAAAGGAATTCTTTTTTTACTGACTATGCATATTCAGCAAACAACTTCAGTTTTTGTTTTGTTTTGTTTTTTTTCCTAACACAGAGTCCCAGGGGAGTCATTATGTACAATCAGCTCTCTAATTCAGATTAACTCGTCTAAGTACATATTGATATAACAGAACACAATGCCTCTGGAGCGCATCTAGGAGGCAGAGCATTAAGAAGATGGACTTCCACCTGTGCTTCCTAGGCCAGTGTCACAGGTGAGGAAAATAAAGCACTTCAAAGAGATACTGGAGGCCACAAGAATAAGTGGGTATTTCCTAATTAATGTAAGATCTTGACTGGTGGCATGCACAGTGGCCTTGAAACTGCCAACATCTGGGTGCAGACGCGAGGCCTCTGATGTCCGCTCGCTCATCAGTCTTTCTCAAGGACGACAGCAGGGCAGAGTCAAGGGAGTCACTCAAGGGCTTACGAAGCTACTGAGCAACTGGAACACAGGGAGGCAGGCAAAGACTCATTTGTGATCTGGAACTGAACTAAGGCAATCTTCAAGTTAGGAGGCTACAGGCGTAACTGGAATTCTGTGGGATCAAGGAGAGTGAAAAGGCCCTTGCCGCCCAGGCATGTGTCCAGAACTCAGGGCCAGGCAGCTTCACAGGCCTACCATACAACACCAAAGGTATGTTGTGAAAAGAAAGCTGCCGTGGGCATTTCACAGTGGGAGCTATCACTCTATTTGTGACCTATTTCCCTTTAAGTTATTCCACTAAATTGGTAACGTAGGATACCAGAACAATAAATGGAAGATTTCAAGGCGATCAAATGTAAATTGCATTTTTTACATAAAATGTGACCATCACTGGAATCAGACAGCAGCTTCTGACTTGTTTTTCCATTGCTCTCTGCACATCTGATCTCTGCTACCAAAATTTTAAGACCTGCATAAACAAAAACAGTATTTATTTTTTCTCTTTATCTAGCACAGTGGTTAAGTTTACTTTGGCTTGGAGGTACATTACCCACCAGCACTTCCCCCACCCATTCACCCTGACTCATTCATCACAACCCAAGGCAGAGGTTGAGCTGGGCTCTAGGGACAGAAGGAGGGAGCCCCAACACCTGCCCCCTAAGAGCTCCCAAAGTAGTAGGTTAAAGACAACAACAAACAGAGCATGACAGTACATTGTACAGGGCCCCCACAGAGGCAGGAGATGACACAGCCAAGGGAAGAAAGAACTGAAGCACAGGCTGTGCTGAAGACAGCCAAGAAAAGATGCAAGAGAAGTGGCCTGACTCAGAGTCTGCTGGGTCAAGCAGGAGTGGGTAGGTGTGGGGAGGTGGGAAGGGGCAGGGGAGAGGCAACCCGATGAGGACATGCTGGAATGGGCCAGGGGATGGCTGTGCAGCCTGGCTCTCTTTACTTTCCTTTGCATCTATGCTAGAGAGTGGGAGTTTCTGGAATGAAGACTTTACTACAGAATCAAGTCCAGATATCCACTACAGAAGGGCCTGACTGACTGGCGTGTGGAAGTGCTGCACTCCAAGGACAGGGAGGAGCAGGTACTGAGTCCTCCAGACCACAACTGCTTTGGCTGTGGTCATGCAGGCTGCTGGTTAGAGCTTAAAGTTTCCAAATGTTCTATGGGAATTTGATCAGCGAGAAACAGAGAAGCTACACTTTAAGAGGTCAAATTGGGTCTCTCCTAAATGCCGGTGTCTGCAAATGGACTCACATCCCCAAACCCTTGCAGCCTGGGAGGCAGCCAGCACAGAGCTTACAGAGGCTGAAACCACGTACATAGCCAGGCAGGGGCCGGGTCTCCGGGACATGTTTATGCACCTCCTGCCGAGTCGCCTACATGTTCTGCAGAAACTTAAGTAAGGAAGCATTGTTAAGTTCAGCCAATAAGTTCATCACACACAAAAGTTATATTTTACATGTCTACAGGTTCTATTTTAATAGTCAAGGTCTAAATTAAAAACAACGAAAAAAATTAAAACTCTTAACTTTCTAGTCTTCTGGAAAAACAGGCCTCCATTTTCAAAGAAACTATAATTTTGTGCATGCTAATTGCATGATTTACTCCAACAATGCTTTTTTCAGAAAAGAGAATCCTTCTGTTCTCTTCTACAATGTTATAATTTACTGGTGATATCGTGAATTAGCTCTTCTGCTGAGATACATCCCAGTCCACCTTTCATAAAAGGGTAACTTCGTAAGCAAGACACTTATGGGGAGGAAAACCTCAAAATGAATTGGGATGGGGCTCTTAATATTCTTTTCATTGCTTGCTTATACGTTCTAGTTCTTGGTATTCATATATTTCATCAGATGGAAATATTTAACTAGAATTAAAGGAGTTTAAGAATACTTAATGTACCAAGTAAGCTGCTGCTACATGTTTCCTGGACTTACTTTCCTGCAAACACAACCGTGCGAGGAGAAAACCACAGCTGAGGAGAGAAGCAGAGTCTGCTGATCATGGCTCGACAGCCAAGGATCACTCATGAAACCACTGCTCTGAGGTTAAAGTCATTTGAGGAGCAGGGTACACAGGCACAGTCCCTGGGCTCACGCAATCTTTCGTTTACCTCAACACTGCTGGAAACAAGCTAAAAGGAACCTGAAGTCAACTTGTAAGGTATGGAAATGGTTATGCATTCACCTTTCCCTAAGAGCTTGTGTTAATTCTCAGTATGAAGTGGAGGAACAGCCAGGGGGCTGAAGAGGTGTTCTTGTCGACTCCTTCAAGCTATTCTGCTTTTCTCTAACCTAAAAGAGGCTTCTGACATCACAATCACTCAGTGTGGCTCTCGAGCCAATACATATGCACATACAAATAGGATGCATGTGCACATGGGGGAAGCAGCTAAACTGCCTGGTACTGAATGATCACTTACATTCTGTTGAAAGGGTTGGCTTGCTGCTGCCTGCACTGTGCCCTGAGGCCCGGAAATGTCTCTTTGGCACCAATTCAAACACTCGTAGGATTGCCGGGCTAAGTATTGCTAACAGAACTTGGAGGATTTGAGGATAATGCCAAAATAAAGATCAAGCATCCAAAGATATGTCAAAATAAAGACAAGACTCTTTAAAGGGTGTTTTTCCTGGATAAAGATGTTTGCTGTAAGGAGCTATACACATGGACTACACCTCGCCAGTGACTCAATAAAAGGCCTGATAAAAGTAAAAGTCAGCAGAAATCGCCATTTATGAAAGACCCTGTCAACATGAAAGCCTGTGTGTCTCATATCCTACTGTGACTAAGACTCCTTCCCCAAACTCATGGTTCTAAGAAGCAGTACTCAGATGTAGTATGAGGCGAGAGCAGCCCCAGTCTCACAAATGTTGAGGCTGGCTCCAAAATGGGTAGCAGCTTGGAGCAGAAGCCACAGAAGCACCTGGCCACCCCTCTTGCCTCCCAAGTGGCCTCTCCGTCCCGAGCCCACCTTCCAGCAACTTCCACGGAGATGGAAGATGACTTAAACAGTCACCTCCAAGCCTTGTGCTGTCTTGTGTGGTGTGGTTGGCCATGAGCTTCACGTAGCTTCTAGAAATCTGAAATGTGCCTAGTCTGAAGCAAGATGTGTCAGAAGTGCAAAATATACACCAATTCCCAAACTGTACCAACACAGCCCAAGCATGCCATACTAACTACACATCTGCGAATCTTATATATTAAAATACAGTCAAATGTATCCCTAAAATTCCTACCGTTCTCTTTCCTTCAGCAGAGGCTCCCTTCATGTTCCCACTGGGCTCTCCTGCCCTAGCTCTACAGCAAGTTCAAGCCCCGATGCCACAGCCTCCCCCACCCTTCATCTCTGCCTGCCTGTTTTGCTGTGTGTGGTGTGGACTGTGTGGTCCATTGCCACGCTCACTATTCTACAGGGGCTCAGCTCCCTCTCCACTGAACCTACCCGCAAAGTCCTAATCTTGTTCTTCCCTGGCCTGAGCTTAGTTACAGAAAACGGAACTCCAGCACACCGGCTCTGCTTCTTGTCCTTCCACTTCCACTACCCACCTGGCACTTGGACCGGTCCACTTCACCCCTACAGCTCCTACCGGTTCCCAGAGGCCATAATCTGCAGTGAACCCTCACTCCTGCAGCAGCCCGACAGGCCGCAGTGCTCTGCTTCCAGGATACAATGCCCTGCCTGCCCCACTTGCTCCTTCTCACTCTCCTCTGCTTCCTCCTCTCTCTCTTCTCCCTTAAGAGAGTCTCAGGTCTCTGTGTTCACATGTACTCATATAGGCATGGAAAACACTCCACTGTCTACCCACAGCTAGGCCTTGCCTCTGAGGAACACTGACACGTCACTGCCAAGCCAACTCCATTTGGCATCTTAAAGACCAGTACGTTCAAGCACAACTTTGTCGGTCTTCTCAACCTTCTTCCCAACCTGCGGCCCCCTCAGTCATCTCAATTCCAAAAATGGGGAGTTACATTCTTTTGAGTTACTTTGTACCCAATACCAGCATCAAATCCTCAATCTTCTTATGTAACTACCATCTGTTAGCTCTTACTTCAAAATATGCTCTGCTAGCAGGCACCAGCAGCTCACACCTGAAATCCTAGGATTCACGACCAGCCAGGGCAGAAAACTTCACAAAATGGGCTGGGAAGGTGGCTCAGTGGTAGAGCCTTGCCCTGCATG